AAGAAAAACCCTAGGAAGCATTGTACAAAATAGTGTGCATTGAGACCCTGATTTATGTAGACTTAAATTAATAAACAGATTGATATCCAAAATATAATAAAAAAACAAAACAAAAACAAGAATAATTAGAAACAAAACAAAGCCTTTACCTGCGCCTTCTTTGCCGGAATGGCTTTACTCCCCTCTCTACGGACTTCCAAAAAAACAAAAACCTGATGTTCACCTCCGACCCCATCGCGGACTTCACCACCTTGCCGCTCAAAGCACTGTCGAACTATCTATGTCACACACCCTCTTCTTTTTCTGGGGAAACGCCGACATATGTGCGCAACGCCAGCGACTTCGTGGAGCAGATTTAGCATTTAAAGATAAACGCCGAGGAGATTCTGGTATCTTTTGATGTTTTATCGCTGTTTACAAGCGTTCCGGTCTCCTTAGCAGTCATGACTGCCAGAAACACCCTCGAGAAAGACAGTGATTTAAGTAACAGAACCAAGCTCAACCTGGTCGAACTCTGCCACCTCTTCAAATTCTGCCTGAGTAACACTTATTTTAGCTTCAAAGGGGAGTATTTTAAGCACACAAGTGGAATCGCAATGAGGACCTCCATCTCTGTTGCCACAGCAATCCTGTGCATGGAAGCCATAGAACAAAAAACTCTGCTCTAATGGATAGCGCAGTAGGCGTATGACGTCAGGATTTCGCAGAGAAATCAATAGATAGCATAGCGGAAACGATATACCTTGTCCCCTCGCAATAAGGCATCACGTGACATATCTAACTCCACCACCCGCAGCGTGAGACATCTCTCCCATCATCTGAACGTCGCGAGCTGTTGGTCGTCATGCGAAATGCCCATGACTAGTAGCAGAAATAGGGTATAAAAGCGCAAACAGACAGGGACGATAAGAAATAACACAAACGACAGGGACAAGGCGCAAGCAGAAGTTGCATAGACATGGTATTCACAAGATTCTTATATCACTTGGACATCATAACCTTCGTAAGCTACTTCAGTTACCACAAGGGGCTCCTCGCAATTCGAAAGCACGACGATTATTACTAAATTCACTACACGCACCCTGGGAAAGCGTGCTCGAATCCATGAAAATTTCTCATTGAAGGACAATATTTCATGCAGTTTACTGCTGAATAAATTCAACCTTGCGTTGATTAGCCTGATAAACCGGAAGAGCACAGGAGTGTGTCGTGTAAGAAACGCAGCCCCCCCCCCCCCCCCCCCCCTTTTACCGAAAAATCGAGTATACCATTTCGATAACTGGATTATGGAACTGGAAATTTAACTGGATTTCTTGTTGGAAACTCGAAATCCAGATTGCAGACAAAGGATTATTTTTTTTTAAATTCTTAAATCCCCAGTTAGAGTCCAGATATATTTCCAGTTCCATAATCCAGTTCGCTAAAAGTGATATTGGATTGTTCGGTAGGGCAAACCACTTACGCATAGTTACGGACGCGTCCACCGCATCCGTAACCATATAGGTAAGAGATCATTACGCAGGTATGATGCCCGTAGCCAGATTCAGTGGTCCCCTGGTTTATCAAAAATGACCAAGACAAGTTTAATTTATCTCTTACTTCCTCGCGCGTCGACAGGAGCGCTGGCATGATGGCCCAATTATAACAGGCGGCATTTTTACAAGATTGTCGTTACTTTCCGTGCAGAGGAGGTTTAGTCAGCCGAAACTCCGAACTTCCTCAGATTTATTGCTGTGGCTCATGTGATTACTTAAATATGAAGACATACAAATATGTCTTCATATTTGCATTAAAACAACAGATTTTACAGCTTTGCGAGATTTTAGATGCTATTGAAATGACAAATATATTGCAAAAGCGATTAACAACACGGTAATGCAGCGGTGAACACTATTGCCCGGTATATTAATGATCGTGAAGCAATAGCAACGGAAACCAGCAGGCAAACACATAGCATCTGTGGCGTACCACGGTACATACACTTTATATATATTTGCGCGAATATTACTTAGAATGCATTCCTGGCGTTTCTATCCATGAAACCTATGAAAGCAGGGACTCAAACCGTAACCACAACCGAAAACCTTTTCAGTCAGAAAACTTTCTTCAGTAACCGTAACCGGAACGAAACCGTTATCTGAAACTTATAAAAACCGTAACCGTAACGTAACCGTAAATTATTTATCGGAACCGGCATTAACCGATATTAACCGTAGATAAAAATATTAATTTTTTCCAAGAATTACCTGGAGGAGAGTTCTTGAGATGTCGTGGCCATTTGTACAGAGTTACCGTCAGCGAGCGGTGCATCTGGTAATACATTTCCGTTTAATTTAAATATAGATTAAGAATACTTAGTTGATATCAATGGTTGAGCTCACAATGAAAAGTCTCTATATCTAAATGCGTTACTCTTCTACAATTGCTACATGTGCTCAGTACCTGTCGCCTTTAGGTAACTAATAAGTTAGAATTCTGAGATGTCCATCCAACTTGGTTCTTTCAAAACCACAGATGTTCCTGACCTGCAACTAGGAATGCCGCGAACCGGTTGGGATTTGAGTTCGACCAGGTTCGACTTTTCCAAACCTTTATTGAAAACGTTCTAGAAAGTTAGACTACGGTTCGACAGTTAAGCGCATCCGCGAAGGGCTGGCTCAGTTGGCTTTGGATTGGAGGGTGATGACTAAATGATCAAGTGAAATATTCTACTTTTAATAAGGGCAGCACTACTTGGTTAGCAAAAATAAATAATATTATTGAATTTAAAGTTATTAGAATTATGTTCCCTCGATTGTAATTTTTTATAAACTAAGACAATCTATTCCGTAAAAACATTTTCTCCAAACTTACACATGCTTGTATCGGAATCTGGCAGCACTGCTCAAAGAGTTGAACCTTGTAGAAGTTGGTTAAAAGTTCGATGGTTTGTCGATCCAGTCGAACCTTGAGGTTCGACGAAAAACTCCGGCTCGACGAACGTCCCTGACATTCATAGTTGCAACATATCTGTGGGAGAAGCCCCGCCTCCAATCCCGGGAGAAAAATGGCGCTACTAAATAAATGCTCAATTTTCCTAGCGTCACAAAATCAGACAGCGAGGAACGTAAGCTCCTCTGATCATATGTATTTGCTTGGAAATAACACACGTGACGTAGGTGTACCAGCGCACAACAACCAAGACTAGGGAAAGGAACAAACAACACAGGACATACTTTTACAGATTTCTGTGTTGTTCGTTGCTCTCCTTAGTCTTCCTTGTTTTGTGCAATTGCATTTAAATTGTGTTTGACTTTCACGAAGTAGCACAACTCTCAATTTCATCACTTTATTCGGCTTAGCAGTACATTAATAGGGAAGGACTATACTTCTGCTCCTTCCTTGAGTGTGGGCGAAGACGTTCTGCATATCTTAGGTTGTAATAAACTATAGCGACGAGAAGGTGCAAATGGTTCTTCCAGCACCGAGTGGGATTTTTCTGAAGGTTGTTGCAAACGCTGCCGAACAACAAACTAGCAATGTTTATTTTTATTTTTCTTATATAGAATGCGATAATCCCCGAGTGTCGGGCTTGTAGGCTTGGGTATCAAACTTTATAATGCAAATAGATGTAGTGAACAAGTGTCGGAGCTAGAAATGTGCGCGACCTTTGACCGATTTGAACTACTGAGATGTTTTTGAGCACTTGTTATTGTGAATGTCACGTTGTTTGATATCTGGGACTACTTTAAACACGGCTGTCTACCATTTCAATAAAACAAACGATTGGAGAAACTAAAAACAAAACAGGTTTTAAGAACGTGCAACCGGTAACCGAAACCGTAAAAATCAAAACCGTAAACAACCGAAACAAAACTGACGTCGAGAGGAAGCTGTAATCGTAACCGTAACAGAAGCGTTATATTTTTCGGTTTCAGTTCCTGATAATAAAGGAGTTAGACTTTCTCCTCATAAAATAGTAATCGCTGAGAAAAAAAAAAAAAAAAAGAAGAAGCGAGCAGCGTTTGCCATCTCATCTCGAAGCCAAAACAAGCGGCCATGTGATTTGGAGCCGATTATATGCCGCCAATATTTATCATAGCCAGATGCTGGAATTAGAAGAGCACGAAACACGCGCTGAGTAACAGACATTGTTATGGTTCTGCGATTGTCGTCATTGCAGCGATTAGACACCAGCCACTACCCGAATAGTTATCGAGTTGTTCATTGTCACAAGCTCAAATTGAGTGCTCATGCAATGCTCGGGTTCAGTCTACGAGTCGCATTCGAATATCGCCACTGCGACCTTAAAACTACGTCATCATGTTTTTGCGAAGGAGAGATTGAAATAAAACGCTCGCTTTTTTTCTTGAAATTACACTTCAATAAAGACGTATATTGGTCAGTGGCGTTCCGTGCGAGTATACTCGAGTCCCATTAGTGAAAATAAGCTCGCATAAAGTGGAACAAACGTTACAACTAATATCGTTGCTCCGCCCTTTAAACAACAAGTTATATGTAACAGAACATAGTAGAACAATTTAAAAAGCTTTAAACGTGTAGCTTCAGAATGATCTTTTATTTTATTTTTGATCGATGCCCTTGGCATAAATTTTTTCTAATAAGGTTAAGGTTAAAGTTAAAGTTCTTACAAACATATAAATACAACGAAACAGTTGCCGTCGCCAGTTACTAGAGGGTTTTAGGGTTGCGTACACGAGCGAATGCATGTACTGTGCATTTGGGTTAGCGTTGCGTGTTGCACATTGCGCGGAGTGGAGCATGCAACGCAAATGCAAATACACAGCGCTTGCGTTTGCTCCTATACGCAATACTAAAACTCTCTACTGTAAGAAATCGAACCAACTAAATATCACGAGCTCTGTCGCGACCTTGCGCACTCTGTACAGAAGCAGATGTATAAATTTATATATATGTGCATAAGAGTTTTCAAACTAAATATAGTTGATTAACTGATCGATTGTTTAATTAATAGACTGGTTGATTTGAGAAATGGAGGACACCAAGAACTCACCAAGTCTCATCAGAATGATTAGACGCCCATGGCGATCCCGTTCAGGCATCACGATGAACAACTCTTTTGCGTCTGGATTCACACTGGCCGGAGTCAGACCTTTGAAGCTCGATCCTAAAGCAACCCGGCCCTTGTAGTAGTTCTTTATCGTGTTCAAGGCCGCGTCCACGTTGTACTTGCGCACTCGGAGGAATCGCAGCAGAAACTCCGGGTCCGTTCTAGCATCGAGGTCCGGTTCATCTGCAAAAAAAAATTAGCGACAGAAGTTTGAACACACCTATTTTTCTACACGCTAGTTAAGTGCATTGCAATAAATTTTCGTACGGGACTAACCCGAGAAATGGTGGACATTGTCTTAAATCGTATAGCAGTTGTCATTTGTTGCATGTGAAGAGAGCCACATTCTACACAAACATGTGAAACATGCCACATGTAAAGAAAGCCACATTTTACACAATCCCCATTCAGCGGTTTGTGTAGAAATATTTGCTGTTTGCCCTGCGCCCGGAGAGCCCCTCCTGTTCAGCAGGAATCAATGTGGCGTTCAGATTCGTTTCGAACGCAATGGCAATAATAACATTCCTTTGCAAAAAAAAACAAAAAAAAAAAAAACTGATGTTTTCTAGCGACACATCGGTTGTCACTTTGAGGTATCTAGGAGGTTTCATTGTACGTTCTATATATCAACTTCGATTACTTGAGTGCTGCATTTGGACATATCGATACTGCGTGCCTTATAAAGTAAAACATTTCTGACGTTTAAAAGCAGGCTGCGAGTTTGTAGAGTTGTTTCCTAAATTGTGAAAACTGAAAACATGAGATGTCAATGCCACTTCTACCTTTATTCGGAGCCACATGAGCTCTAGCACGTTTCTAGTAGAAGACGAAAGCGATGGCGTGACTTTATCCGAGCTTAGGTGAAAAGTTTTGTTTATTTGCTAGTGCCGTCAGGCTCCTGACAACGAGCAATGTCAGCCTCTTTTTCATAGGCGACGGATGCCCAAACTACTACGAAACTCCCCTGCCCTCCCCATAGAGAAGTCTCTTGCAGGTCTCCTGCAGGGCTTCGGGGAACGAAACGATTTCATTGCAGTAGCAATCGCGGCTCAGAACGGTGCGGTTGCCGTTGTGCTATGTTGAGAGCAGAACAAAGTGGCGGAGGGCAGTGGAACGAAGAATCGACACAAAAACTTTTTGTTAAGGATAGGCTGGCACCCCCGATATAATTCACATAGTGTTACAAAACTACACCTGCTGCAGAGTGCAGTATTTTTTTTTAACGAACATATAAATAATATTGTAGGCCTACGTAAACGGAGGACTAGACTTTTGGTACAGGATGTCTGTGAAGGCGGCCTAGAAAGCGACCAGCCGAGTCGGAGTCACATTACAAACTGTTTTAATTCTCGAAGCAGAAAGAGAGAGAGAGAGAAAAAAGAGAAGAAAACAAGTAAACAAACAAACGAACAGACAGAGGGCGCGCTCTTGGCGCGTGCTGTTCGGCAGCGGCGCAGGTGTTCGGGGGACGCTGCCACAGATGGCCAGCGAAGAAGGAACAAACAAAGGAGGGAAGAATTTAGATCGTACCCCCGAACATTTTCGGAGACTCCCAGTGTGGACGCCGGATTCTTGCGTTGTCTCGTTCCACGTGGTGACTTGTTCGAAGTTTTTTGGATGGACGCACGTTTGGTGTTTTTACTTTCATGAAAGTAACATAGCGTGGATTTCGTTACTTTGTATAGTGAAGACGGGACGCACACAGATTATTAGCTCTCGGATATTATGTTCTTTGACATTATAAACCCTTGTCCGCTCCACCACCTGGCTGCCATTGCTTAATCACGTACTCTGAGCGTACACGAGACCTGCGTCAACGTTCATCGAGAACTCGGCTCAGCCCGTATTGAAAACAAGTGCCGCGTCAGCGTTCGGAGAGGGCTGGGGTCCAATCACGCAGTTTGTGCGTAAAAAAGGGCGACCAACATCAATGTTGCTTGATTTACTTTTGAAAACCGCCTATTGCACGTAACTGGAGCTAAGGGAGTAAGGAAAGCACTGAGCAGCGTGTTCCTAACCAGTAAATTTCTTATTTAGTTTTTTTTTTCAATTTATTTATTCAAAATACCTTGCAGGTCGATTTCTGGACATTATACAAAGGTTGGATATTTAGTCGACGTGCAGTATAAACACTTTTTAAAAACGCATACATAAAACGAAGAAGCTCGCGTTCTCTCAGTCATAAAATGTTTTTTTTTTGTTTTGTTTTCTTTGCAGAAACGCAGCGCAATTTCTAAATTTTAATACTCTTTTGGGAAGAGCGCCACCAGCAACGAAGAATCGTGTATAGCACAAAAATGTAAAAAACGCAGAACACTATTTAGATAGGAACATCGCGAGAAATAAAAACTATAGTACACTCAAGTATTCTAAGAAAGCAGCTATAGGAATGCAGCAGGGTCTGAGACTGAAGTTTTATGTTGTCAGGGAGACTATTCCAGTGCGCAACTGCGCGTGGCGCTGGGGAGTTATTGAAAGCAGATATATTTCTGAAAATACGCTTATAACTTTGGCTTTTAAGCGGTGCGATCTTCAGTTAGAAGGCTGAAGGAGCTGGGCGATGACTCTGCTTTTAGTATAGCAGAATTCGTGAATAATGCATATGAGGGAAGCGATGCGGCGCGTCTCGAGTAGCTGTAGGGGGACTGAGCTTTTAAGGAAGGAGACAATTGTAAGGCGGGATTAGGATGATGTTATAAACCGTGCAGCACGATTTTGGATGCTTTGAATTTGATTTATAAGGTATTTCTGGTGGGGATTCTATACGGCAGAAGCAAATTCAAGGATTGGACGAACGTATGTTTCATAAGCCAACTTGCGTAGGTGAGAGGGGGGGGGGGGGTGCAGAGTAAAGGCTATGTCGTAAATACCCCAGTATTCGGCATGCAGTACTAGTGAAAACATCGGTGTGGTTAGTCCAAGACAGATCACTTGATAAACGAACGCCCAGGTGCTTGTAGAAGGGGAAGGTTGCGAAGACTGAGTTACCTAGAAAATATAAATAAGTTGATAGTGATCGTTTGCGACTGAAAGTTACTAGCTTGCATTTTGAACTGTTTATGGACATAAGCCACTTGTCGCACCAAGCATTAACGGTGTCGGGGTCTTGTTGTAAAATAAGGTGATCCTCAGGATTAGTAAATTGCCTGTAAATAACGCAGTCATCCGCAAAGAGGTGAAGTTTGGAAGTAACTGAGTGCGGTAAGTCGATGATGTATACTAAGAAGAGAAGGGGACCCAGTCCAGTTCCTTGTGGTATGCCAGAGATCACGTCTGACATGTTGGAGTGGCAGTTTCTGCAAACTGTGTATTGGTGACGTGGTGACGTAATGTTAGGAATGAACCCCTTTCGAAAGTCACGTGCCGATTATTAGAGGGTCAGAACCACTGCACAATGGAGTAACAACTGACATCGTGGAACGTGCAAGTTATTCCATAAGATTGCGAACGTTGTAGCGCGGCCAACGATAGGAGCCGACGAGTTTATCAAACAGCGTCGGAAGTGCGACGTCATTGCGCTCATCATTTATTTTGTTGGTGAGTTCTAGCCTCCTAATTCAACGAAACGTGAAAAGTGTGCCGTGACATTGCGGTTTAAGTCCGCCATTGTGCGGGGATCCCACAACTGACAACAGAGGGCAGTGTTTTGAAAGGGGCCTATTACGTATCCTGAAGAGTGTGAGGGAGTCAATGTGGAGTGAGGAGTGCTTAGCAAGTAGTCGGCAGTGAGAAACGCGCTCGAAAGCTTTAGAAAAATCCAAGACGATGGCATCGGTTGTAGTGCAATCGTTCATGTTGATGTAAATGTCGTCAGTAAACTTTATTGCGATTCGCACGAGAATTCTTTACGAAAACCATGCTACTTCCCAAGAAATAAATTGTTATTTTGAAGTAAGACACTGCGTGGGAAAATATTATATGTACCAGTAGCTTGGATACTATGTTTGCCAGGGATATTGGGTGGTAGTTTGTAACAAGGTTACGATCACACGTATTGTCGATTGGTATAACGTTACCAAGTTTTTAATCAGTGGGAATTTGACCTGTGGCTAAGGATTGTTCTGAAAATAAGTGAAATATTTGACTACAAATTTCTTTGGTGTTCTTCACCAATTTTGAATTTATGTTATCTCAGCCAGCGCTGGTAGATATTTTAAAATTAACAATTAGGTTTTCTATTCCATGTACAGAGAAGGATACAAGTGCCATAAAGAAGTAGCAAACCTCGGCAACTGGGGGAATGTTGTGAGGGTTCTTAATGGTAAAAACTAATTCAGTCAGCATCTTGTATACGTGAACATACATCATTCATTGCAGTAGTCGTATCGTGCTAAGGGGCTCGTTAGTCGATATGAATTGCCAAAACGTCCTGCGATTATGTTTTATTAAGGCAAGTCATTGTGAAACAAACGCTTTTTGTCTGACGCAGTCATGTCGCCTTCTCTTTACTAGCACTAAGGTAGCGACCAAGCACTTTTTGCGACCAGTCGATTCGCGAACGATAAGTCTTTTCTTTTTGTTTCGTAGGCTCTGAAGTGGACGATTATTCGAAGGCTGATATTTATCAGACTTAATTTTGACAAGTGGAATAAACCTATTACTTAAATCGATTATTTTTTATTTTATACACTGTCCAGTTGCCCTCGACACATCTAATAAAGAAAGATTCAGAAAGGGACTCAAAGAATGACCGGAGACCGGTGTTAATTACGTTTTAGTTCGCCTTATTGTAGTCCCGGATTTGTTTAGTAATGGGGATGGAGGTATGGGAAAGTAGGGAGCGAGTTATTTTCAATACGTTGTGATCGCTAAAATCAGCTGAGCACGAAAGTGAGGTGATTGTTTGAGTTGCTTGCTACAGTTTTATAGCTTATAATATTTCGGGTAACAGAGTTGTACACCAAGGAAGCGTTTCAATAATAAGCTTTTGAAAGCGAAGCGGAAACGGCTGCTCTGCGCTTTTGCGAAGTGAATCGGCTTGCTACGCGCCAGGCGAACACCAGCGGAGAACTTCTCGGGGATAACGGAATTTGTGCCGTTCAGATCTTGCCCTCGTGTCAAAATACATTATTTATCTTTGCAATGCTGAATTTCACAATCATTGGACGGTTCTTGTTTTCAGCGTGCCTTCCAATCACATATGCGCGTTCTTTGTTGTGCGGGTCGATGTTAATGTTCAGCTCCCTTGCATAAAATGTGATAACAGTCTCCTAGGTCTCCGATTGAGAATCGCCAATTCGTATTTTGAGTCGCAAATATTTGTTTAACACAGTGTGTTTTATCCGCCGAATTCAATGAGAAAACCGTCATAAAGGACTGTGACGTCACGTGATGTCATGTCGTCATATGATATCATAATGTCATGTGACAGCGTAACGTCACGTGAGAACCTAACATCATGCGGCGCCGTTTCGTCACATCGTGGCGTCACGTGTTACTGACTGTTTCTTTAAAATATTTTTTTTTTCAGTCTCATATAAATTAATCATCCTGTATGTGGGTCACAGAGCGTAAAGAGTACCATACTAAGCTATTAGAAATACCTCATTTTCTTGGAGCGTCCTGTTCAGGCTTAGTTTAATTTAGCGCTTTTAGAAACAAACTGCCGCAATTAATTTTTTTCCTACATTGTTTTCGCTCTGTTTTAACCGGCATACTAATTTTCTAGAGGGTATTTTTTTGTTTCGTTGTGATGTATGGTTCTTTAGATATGCGCTGTCAAATGTTTGTTTCAGGCGTCTCTGGTTAAATAGAAATGGCGGCTTGGGGCGGTAGCAACGCGGTAACTCTGGTATTGCCGACTTTGGCGAGATCCCTTTCGGGTTGGCAGAGTCGCACAAGTTACATAAGACCACTTGATGGTTCTGCTAGCTGAATAAAGAAGTCGTGCTCGGGAACACTCAAAGAGGAGTTCAAGTTGACAGCTGAGAAAGCAAGGGAAAGCACGAGCTGCATCTAAATGACGTAGCTTTGCCTATTGTGGTTTCAGTAGCATCTTCTTGACTGCTGAGGTCCCTCTAATTGGCTGATGGTGGATATTTTAATACCGCCTTTGGAGTGTAGTTTTCGAAGCGTCATATTGTCACAATTATTTGCTTGTGATCATTGTATCTTATATATTAAAGCAATATCAGTTATCTTTTTTCGGAAACTTTGAGTGGACATACTCTTTAGAATAGTATTTGCGTGTTAATTTTATGTTTAGGGTTTGTGATACTAACGGTGAGCTCGTCACAAGCTTCAATTTATTGTTTATTGCGACACCTTGTGGCATCTGAATCCATCCATATAAAAAAAAACAGAGGCCATTCATTTTATGAAGGTTCTTTCGGTCCCCCTCCCGGCAGCTCAATCACATCGATTCTCGGCGCGTTCTTTCTACAAACACATGCAGCCCTTGAAGCCTTTGCGGGTACTGCTGTGGTAATTTACTACGGCGCTATATTCGTTTCCGTTTTAGACGCTGACTATAAAAAGCTAAATATCGCGTTAAGGTACACATATTTTTTACCTTCGCAGTTTTGTCTCAGTTCTAGAACTAATTGGTTTTTATGACTGATTTCTGATGTTCTAAGGCTACCCTTCCAGAAGCGCTTACATAACTTTGGCTTCCACGAACTTGCTTTCTTTACACTTTTCGTGTTGGTGTAACGTATAAGAGTAATTGACTGATTCATTCATATAAAATGGAATTCCCGAGAGAAGATAGAAAGAAAAAAAAAAAAGCTGTGTAATTTTTTGCAGGTTTTAGAACTCTAGAAAATTCTACTCCCGAGAAATCTACTGCAATTGATATTTTGTGTTTTTAAGGCTACCATTTAAACGCTCGAGAGTTCCCGACATTGATTACATTCAGGAATGATGTCTATAAAATATCGCAAGGCGTGCACATAGTGTTAGGTAACCTGGATGAGTTCACAGTACTGGCAAAACATAATTGTCAAAGCTTGCGCTGCAGTAGACTCTTTTGACATTGCACAAACACCAGGGCGTTTTCCTCCGTTTAAACTCGGCAGGTTGGACGTCAATCGAGCTGTGGTTTATAGCCACGTACTGACAGTGCAGACATCGCTGCAAGATTTATGGCCTACAGTTAATTTATTAGCGACGTTGCGGGCTTACAGAAAAACAAGGAAAAATCAGCAGAATTACGTTGTGTTCATTTTTGCTTCCAAAGGTAAGTGGTGAATGATTCTTTGTGCCTTTCGCACGATATTCTACGTTGACATCGATTATTTAGTGTAAGTATAACCTTGCGTAAGGAGCAGTGTTGTGCTAGTTACCCAAAGTAGGAACAAATGACGTTATTCGTTAGTTTGTATACAAAAATTGACGCGTTACTAAGATGTGTTACTGTTCTGCAAGTTTAACGACATATAGCTACGGGGAATCCCAAAGAGTTAACAAAGGTTTCGTCTGCGTTATTTGCGAGTTCGGAGTTCTTTGTCATCGAAAAGCCGCGGATACAGTTTTTGACAACTAGACTTTTAGACTTTGTTTTATAGAGCTTAATTATGTGCATTAGCTTTTTAGAATATAGTATTGTTAAAAATATATTTGAGTCAGCTTTTTTATTTTTTCCGAATCATCTAGTGACCTTTATGTGGGACCCCAGGGCTAAGCAATAAAGGTTACGTTTTAATCAAACACACGAGTCGACGAAGACTCTTGTCTAATCTGGATGACGACAGTGAGAATGGCATGCGATGGTAGAGAATGGATACAACCACGATGCCGCCAGACTTGCAAGACATAAAACCTGCAATCGTGCTTTGGAAAATAAACGTAAACGTTCTGCGTGGAAAAATAAAATACGTCTCGGTAAAACATGAATTTTTTTTCCTGGCTGTGAGAGTGCTGCGGTTTTAAACTGCGCAACTTGCTGTATAATTAAAGACTAAATTTGTGGGATAATTACCAAATTTTTGTTTCCGTCGCACAACATCGTTATATTTCCGCTAGTTTTTTTTTTGTACCTTTTTATGTTGCCAGCTCTGGCAGCTTGTGACTGTAGTTGGTTGTGCGTGTGAGTTTCTGGCGTTTCTGGCAGGAATTTGACGAAGAAGCCACGGCATTCTGAAGTCCAATTAACTTTTTTTACAGTATGTGCTGCTATAGTCAAAGTTTAGTGCTGCAAAACTGAAGAAAGTTTCTTTAATACATATATAAACATTCACCATCCGCTTAACGTTCCGAGCCCTTTCATTTATGGTACATGGATGTTTTAGGAAATCTACAACAAGATGAACATAACTTCATAAAGCATAGTGGCTTGCTTTGGCGTTAGCCATAGTCTAGAAAAAAACGCAGCATGTTAAACCAGCGCGCAATTTCTGTATAGCAAGCAATTTTATTTAAAAGCATGGTCTCACGGACCTTTAAAAATGGCACTTCTACGGACAGCCTTTGAAGAATCGGCGAACTTGGGCACGCAGAGTGGCATGGGCGGTGTCGGAATTGGGACCTTATTCATAAAGCGCCTTCGATATTTGGAAATGAACCGGGTGCAAGGGTATATTATACTGCTCGTACGAGTACTTTTCCGCAGAACACTCGAAGAGCCCATCACTTCAATCTCCCGTTATAGGCCCATTTAAACAGTACCATTTGGCAATGTTTGTCTGCGTTGCTAGACTCATGTAGAGATGCGACTGCGAGTTAGAAACTCGTAGTCGCATATCGACGAACACACCACAATGTAGTGAAAGTTGTCAAACACGAAATTCTGAGCGGGCCCTTATACCTAAACAAGCGTTTTCGATTTCGCATGAACTTCTCGTGAGCGTCTCTAAAGTCATGCCTTGTGTCACGTCAAAACATTTACATCTGAGTGAGAGGCTTTCTCGACCTCGTCACTTGACAAGCTCCCTCCGTCGAATGCAGCTCCTTACTCTAATCTGTAGATTGTAAACAAAAAAAAAAAGCACAACTTACTTTGAATTAGTTGGATGAGCTTCTCAAGGGCCTCCTCTCTTCCACTGTCTGTTTCCCCCAATTCTTCTTCTGCTATCCGCCGAAGCTCGGTGGGCAGGTCCCCGTGTCTTGTCCCGCAGGAAAAAGGTCCCTGCTTAGCATCTGCAGTCGATGACATGCTTGACTGCGAAAACACAAAACAAAAAGCATTGGAAGGTCCCAATGTGTCAAGTGCACGGCCACCCAAATGAAGGAGCTAGTAATATTAATAAATTAAGCGCAACTCAAGAAGGAAGTGAAGGGGCGCGATCCTTCTCGCTTCGCCGAGCGCCAAACCGGTCGTGAAGGCTGCAGAAAACGATTTCATATTTCCACGGTGTGTTCGTCCTTGAAACCAGCGTATTGCGGATATAAAGTGGACAGGTTTGCGTTGTGTACAAAAAAGAGGGGGGGGGGGGGGAAGTGGCGCCTTGTAGCAAATGCCTTTATTATATCTCGGAACGCAGGGGCTCAGTATTTTGCGTGTCTCAAGCCGACTGAGCCCGCCTCAATCGACAGCCAGCCAAATAGGGAGCTGCGTAGCAAAATTACTTATGCTTCTTCGATTTCTGGCTACTCTGAGGACTTTGCATGCCCTCATGAGTATCTCGAGCAGCAAGCTATAAGGAACAGCCGTCTGGAGCACGATTGGAATACTGTCTGTTTGGGAAGACGGCAGCACGACGGAGAAACGCCTAACTTGGCCCAAGTTTGTCAATGCCAGGGGCCTAATTTGGGCCAAATATGAATGTGCTTCGCTTCAAGGCTTTAGCCAGTGCCAAATTACTTTTCATTGGCTTTTTTATGGGTTTCCTTTGGTTCGCCGCGTAATTGTCAGGGTGCCAGATAAGAGCCGGAAATGCCACGTATCAGACAAACAACGCCCTGTGAAGCCAAATTCTGGCACTTGTTTGGCGATTTAGGCCCAGCGTTTCCAGGTGAAAGCAGAACGACCAGGAACGAGGCCTAATTCTTCGATTTCCGCCGGAACTGAGTCGCTAAAAAGTGATCACACACGAAAACCCAGGAAATGGCACCTAGCTCAGGGAGTTGTATGGCGATTTGGCAGACCGTATCCAAGGAATTCCAGATTAAGTTAGATTACATTAGGTTAGGTTAGGTTAAGTTTGGTGCCTTCTCGTGGCGACATGACGCCGCTAGAGATAAAGCCGGGGGGTTTCAGGTTTAAAGAAACACGGCCCGGACGATGACCAAAAACAAAACAAAACGATAAAACAAAAAGAAAAAATAAAAACGTCATTGACTGGAGAGGACACCTTTGGGGGCGTTGCCACGACCGCGACCTCTACTTCCGGTTTCATTTGGGATTTTCTCGTTGGGCTGGCTTGAGTCGGTACGTCGCTCCTCTTTTTTCATACCTCCATTTACCTTTAGGGGCTTTCAGGGTCAAAAACTGCCAAACGAAAAGAAATGTTTGCCCAAAAGCGCGTGCTACCTGGCGGTAGAATAACTGTTAAAACTTCGCCGTAAGTAACCGCTTCGCCGTAAGGAACTGCTTTGGTCATGAGTAAATATTAATCCAGTAAAAATAATATTAATAATATTAAAAAAAAAACACGAACGTAGCCGCTTGCTTGCCAGAACACTTGCGGTTAGCAACCAGAAATGACTGTTGAGCGCCAGTAGTGGTTACTGGGAGTGTTACATGAGCTAGATAACTAAGAACAGTACAAAACGGGTGAGCTTTTGTCCAGTGAGCTTCTGTCCGGTGAGCTTTTGTCCGGTTACCGATACCTGAGGCGAGTGTACTGATCTAAAAAAAAGACATTTTTTTGACTAGGCGTTATAAGAACTATAAGTACACATGACGGACAAAAGTGATGTTTGCAACAACAATATCGTTCACCTTCCTCGCGTTGTAAACTTGTTCTGCAAGTAGAGCAGGACAACACGCACACGAACAGCACAAAAACATGCGATGACAGGTAACATAATTATAAACCTGCTTGATCGATAAATATTTTTTTTTCTTCAGAGAAGCGGAAGTAACAGGGTAGCTTTCTTAAAGGCTTGGGCTACGGTTATAAACTAAAGTGTGTTGCAAAAATTCATCTTACAAGCACTAATGTAAATACGGTAATAGGAAGTACCACTACTGAATTCATTTGGAAACAAATGGCTCATGAGTCTGGAAGCTGGAGTGGTTTGAGGATATGTCCAAGAAGTGAATAATGATAACGGATATCACTACATTTCTATTCTGTCAGTGTTTCTACGTATGTGATTATATTTTAGTTCTTACGTGTGACGGTCGGTTTGTGAAAATAGAGACCAATCTCTGTGTTGGCACTACAGGGCTAACCTGAAATATGCTCAGAAGAGTTTTCTGATTTTTTCTAGCAGTTACTAAACGGCAGGCTTTGAAAGGCCATGTGGGGTCAGCTGCAGTCCCAAAAATCAGCACGCTTTGTGTCACTCTAAAGTGATAACACTAGAACGCTATAGTTCGAACTCTTTTCCTCACACGTTCAACTTCTGATCACTTGGCTATTATGTTTGGTTCTTCTTCTCGCCAAACAATTTTAAAAGCGCGCAGATCAAGAATAGCTTAACTAACCATAAATATGTATAACCTGTAACTGACAAACGAGAAAAAAAAACACGTGCACAACAGACAAGCACTACGAGAAGGAGGCGACAAGACAAGCGATTGTCCTGCCGTCTTTTTCTACTAGTCATTGTCATTGTTTTTCTGTTTTGTTTGTTGTTGTTACATGTAAACAACTATCCCGCCAGCTGATTTTAATTCAGAAACGCGTTAAGTTGAGAGCAAAGTTGAATGTATGATTTATAGAAAAGCGAAGCTAAAACAAGTGACATTCACCGTGAGTGACGCACGACGACAACAGAAAATCTATACAGTTATAGCTAAATCCACCTGGAGAACTGATACAAACTACAAACCTACAACCTTTTTGAACTTTTTTCTGGGTTTGATATCTACTTGCTAACCAGCTGGAGTGTTCACACATAGTTTTCTAATTAAATTAAATTATTTGGTATGAGATGCGCAGCATTCAGTTTCTAGTCAATACTTGTGCACACAATTAAAGTTTGCGTTGGTGACGAAATGGTGCTTATAAATATTATACTTAACGCAGACGCAATAAAATGGGCGACGTAAAACAGCATCTATAAGCCAGCCTTTATACTTCAGTGGCAGTTAAGTTCAGTCACATCATCACCTAAGAAGGAACCGTGTTCGTTTGCGGAAGGGCGGCCTTCGATGGGGTACACCTTGACCTGAAAAGCCTGCTGCCGTGCTGGCTTCCACGACGCCTCGAGAAAACTTTCTTCTTATCTTCCTGGACATTTGTGCTCATTTCATTGAAGCGTTGCTCAATCAGACCACTTACCGTCGATCCAGTTGACGGGGTTTCACTCGCATTCCTTAGCACTCGTAGACGAGGAACGTGTAAATATTGCGACAGGAAGGAAGACAAAACATACGTTGCAACCTCTTAGGCGGAAATGGGACTCACGTCGCTCCAGTTATTTTCTATCGTGCAAATGTTCTCAATACGGCTAGTACGCAATGGAGTCGCCAGATGGCGAAGCGACCGCGTTGGGGAAGTTTGGAATTGGCAAGTGCACGCTTATACACAACAACCAGTGACAAACAAACAGAACAAATAAAGAGACAACAAGGAAGCGGGCGTCACAGGAACGTTGAACGAAGGCCGACGTCGCCACGTGCTGGAATTCTGGCTCTAGGCCAAAATGCTGGAAACGCGAACAGAAGTACTCCTCTTTCCAATCCTACCTCGGTCGGAGCTGTGTCGAAACAACTCGTGGCAATATCTCTCAAAAAAAGAGCACAACATGAGTGATAGTCAGTGGTTGTGTTTTACGCATAACTGTTCCACTTTTAGGCTCTGTTCAGATAAGATCATGCACGCGAGTCCCGACGTTTCTTTAGTTTTTGTTAGTTTTTTTTTTATCTTACTCCTCAAAATGTGTAGGGAACATAATAAAAATATTTACGTAAAAACAAAATTTAAAAAAAAAAAAAAATGAGTGCGCCAGAACGGCATAGTTGATTCTTGAAGGTTTTGTTTAAGTCATGTTTGGTGACAACTGCTACGCAAACTACAAATATCAGAAATCTCAAATAGTTTGCACTCTAATAAATCATAAGAAGCATTGAGTTATTTATGTACAGCATTGTGGAGGTCATATATTACGCGTCGAAATATGCACAAACATGGCTCCTTTGACGTTTTGCAATTAATTTCTGAGCTGTTATCTACGAACATTGAATAGCTATAACATTAACATTTGTGTCATATATTGCTATTAAAACGTTTTTTTGGAATGATTATAAATCATTGTTTACATATCAAAGATAGAAATTCTTATGTCGCATCAAACTTGTTCTAAATTACAAAGTTAAAACATTTCAAGGAGGAATTGAAAACAAATCCATCTAGGATATTATGGAAAATTATAGGGCTAGTTCTCCACCGCACTCTTGTGTTAATTCATGAAAAATATGTTGCATCATTTTGTTTCCTTCAAAGTTACAGCGCTGTACATTGTACCTTCCACGCCGGCATTTTTGCCCAATGCCACGGGCGAGATTATCTTTTGAGTCCATTTATTGTATGACCAGATTTTTTTTTTGCGCTGTATACAGATATCGGGCTCAGGTTCAAGTATTCTACTAATTAAAATAATACCGGCGTTGCTCGTCCTTTTTATTAAAAGTAACTAATAATCCTGTTTTGCCCGTAAGATAACAAGTTCTTTGAGCCTGAGCTGAACTTTTTCCACAAAAGCGGGACGAAAACTTGTAATCGCTACTTCTGCATTTTTTTACAGAACGTATTAGAAAAGTAAGTACAGTGGTGCAAAATATCTGCGAATATTTATTCTAATATTCCCGATAAAGAGATGTTTGAGCCACAAACATTTTACACTACTATTCATGACGGTTGTACGTCCGGATTATCTAGATAAACCTGCGACTTCACCGGAACTTTTGGCAAGACGTCTGTTAAGATTAAAAATATTTGTAAATATTTATCTACTAACAAAACATGAAATGAATGAAGCAAGAAAAATTATCGAGTAAAGATATCGAGCATACTATAATCAATCAATCAATCAATGTTTTTATTGAAGTGCCCAGGAACAACCTTGCGGTCTTAGTACAGGTACACTCAGGAAACATGGAAATCAACACTACACACAACAAACAAACAGTAAACAATAAAACACTTAAAAAAGATCACATATGTCACATAAACTCGCTAGGCTATACCACCACGATAGCGAAAGGAAAGGAAAGCGAGAGTATAAAAATTGGTTCTGAGAAACTTAATCAGGTGCAAAAAAAAAAAAAAATGGGAAGTCAAATTTAGGTGAGGAACTTCAGCGCTCTGATGAACTCCGGTGTGTTATTGTTAAATATATCAATAGAGTCTGTAAAAGAGGAATTGTAGGTGTGCCCAATTCTCGACACGGGGTCGTGAAGATTTGTTACGCGAGCATTGTAGAAGGATGCATTTTGCCTTGTAGTTTTTACGGGAATTTTCAAACGCACATTTGATATCAATGATGTGCAGTCAGTGATGCCATGAATAAGTTTGTACAGAAATAGGATGTCGGCATGTTCTCTCCTACGCCGCAGGGTGGGCAATGCCAAGCTATGTTGGACTGGGACTGCTGGATCATCGTTTGAGGTAGACGCATTGCGCGACGAGAAACGATGTCTGTAGATACATAAGAACTTATTCTGAACACGTTCGATTCTAGCCGAGGTTGTCGCGCAGATTCCATTCCATACAACAGAGGCATACTCGACGTGTGGTCGACATAAAGCACTGTACAGTGTGACAAAAGTACTAGGGTTATTAAACTCTTTAGTAATGCGGCACGTGATACCAAGCGTACGTAAAGCTGAGCTCACAATATGGTCAACATGACTCGAAAAGCAAAATGTACTATCAAATACAACTCCAAGGTCTTTGATTTCATTCAGACGTGTCAAAAGAACTGACTGAATGTCATAAGAGAATATAATATTATGTGTCGTTCGAGTGTAGGACATGACTTTAGTTTTCGAACTATTTAGTTTTAGGGCATTCTGATTGCACCAGTTTTCGAATGCATATACATCATTTTGTAGCAGAACACAGTCGCGTTTGTCCCGTACCTCTATAAACATCTTAATGTCATCTGCATATTGTAGAAAGGAAGAGTGACGGATCACAGCCGAAACATCATTCACAAAAACTGAAAACAGAAGGGGGCCAAGAACGGAACCTTGAGGTACACCCGTCGTAGCCTGATAAGCAGCAGACGAATTACCATTCGAGCTGACAAAACACAGTCTATCACGCAAGTAACTTTTGAGCAATAAAAGTAACGACCTGTGGACATCAAGCCTTGACAGCTTTGCCAGCAACATGTCGTGATTTACAAGATCAAACGCTTTGCTTAGATCAAAGTAGATTACATCAAGTTGGCCTCTATTAGAGACGACCTGAGCAGCAGTTGACATGAAACAAGTGAGGTTAGTCGTGGTTGAGCGACCCGCCATAAAACCATGTTGGCTAGGGATGAGAGAATGTTTGAGCTTAAACGACAATATTTTGTGTAAAGCTGTTTCGAAGAGTTTTGAAAATGTACAAAGAAGAGATATAGGCCTGTAGTTTGAGACGCTTGTTCTTGAACCGGATAATAATAATAATAATAATAATAATAATAATAATAATAATAATAATAATAATAATAATAATAATAATAATATAATAATAATAATTATTATAATAATAATAATTTTTTATTCAGCATTGCAAATATAACCACTTGAGTTTCGGGTCTGGTCAAAGCAGCAGAGGCTTGTGGGACCATATCCAGCATTTGGTGTGGCAGACCGGATATTCGCACGGACTCACATTACGTGAACATAGGGAAAGAAACACACACACATTCAATGTTTCATCAGAGTACAGGCGAAAAGTCAGAGTTGGTGTTTTTGTCGTGTTTGTATGTAGCATAAAGATGAGTCATAAAAAAAAATCACTGAATGGCACACACTTTCGCGCACGAAGTTACGCAAAAATGCAAAAATAAATATCGTATTGAAGACACGAATGTATCTTTGCTGAGTCAGGCAAATTCACTCAGGGTGTGTTCACACACACAAAAAAAAAATGCATAGGAACAAATAGCAAATTTCACACAATATATCCACTAGTCACTTTGTGTGTCCAAAAAAAAAAATAAGTGCTTTAGTAAAAAAGAAAAGAAAAAAGGATGACACGCGGGAATATGCAATATGTAAGAACAAAGAAACAAGAGTTAAAAGCAGTAAAGTTCACTGTCTATACACGTCGGAGAACGAGCTCCTCAGAACTTTCTTCAATGTGTTGTTTGAAGTAAGGAGAAGCAAAGAATCTGGGACTTCATTAAATATTTTTGGGACATAGAATAAGCGAATACTTTCACCATAATGAGTCCTTACCCGTGGAATTTGAAAACGCGAAGCGGATCTGAGATCATGAAGTGGACTTGACGACACCTTGAACTCACTTGCCCAGAAGTGTCGCCAGATAACAGTTTGGAGAAATAGTGAGTGAAAGCAAGGTAATTCGAGAGAGGCAAACAAGTCATCACAGGATAGAAAGTCTTTGCTATATGCGACACTTTTCAAAATTCCTTTTAGAATACGATCAACTCTCAGATGCCAGAACTGAGGACAGTTAAAAAATACAGTGATGCCGTATCTGAGTATGCTGTAGGCTAACGGGTGCGTAATGCTTTTTTAAGTGACAATGGTAGAAATTTTTTTATATGGTAAAGCAAACAAGAAACGGTTCTCAATCGTTGGCTTATATAAGACATGTGTGTGTTCCACGAAAGATCACAGTCAAACTTAAGGCCTAGGTATTTCACTGAGTCAACATACTCAACAGGTTTACAATTATCACATGAGCAGCTGGAGTTATGTAGAAACAGTGGAGAAGTCAAACTTACATTTTTTAATGGATTGTGAAAGCATATCAGCTTGGTTTTGAAAGCATTTACACGAAGCTTATTTGCTAAGAACCAGTCTATTATTTTAGTTACATCGGCTTGGAGCATTTCTATTGCACGCTGGTATATAAGATGCTGTGAGAATATGAGAGTATCATCCGCATATTGGAATAAATTGGAAGTGGTCATTACTGTTGAAATATCGTTTACAAGAATGTTAAATAATAGTGGAGACAAAATGGAGCCCTGTGGAACGATTCGTGAGATAACGTTTTAGTAAATCATGGAACGGACCACGAAAGCCCACCCTATGAAGCTTGTCTAAAAGGATGGTGTGCTTAACGGTATCGAATGCCTTGGCGACATCAATGAAGATGGCGCACGTATACATATTGTTTTCAAAGGACGAGTGTATCATGTCAGAAAAAGTCTCAAGAAGATGAGTGGTACCGCGACCAGCTACGAACCCGTAT